TTGTTTTTTGGTACCTATGTGTAACCACTTACACGCTAAGTCACGGACTTAGAGAGGCATAAAAGAACATGTAAGAGGTACGTGAGTACACTGAGGTTTGCACAAATGATGTTACCACAGCTCGAATAAATTCTCTTTAGGGGCACTGAAAATTTGTCCTGAATGACCACTATGTCCCGAAGGACCACTTATAATCTGTCGACTCTTGGCATGCCAATTATACCTACAAATATCATATTATATAACATGGGCTTAAATATAGATACATTTCACATTTTCATACCTCTTTTATCACTTTTTATATAATACATCATTCACTTCACATGCACACATATAATCACTTTTCTTATTACACATACTTGGATTTATTCTCTTGTTATGCTACATTACATTTTATATATAAAGCATTTAAGAGTTATGTAATCACTCATTATAACCATAACATATGCATGTATATAAAAAAGAAATCATAAAATCAAATATAGGAAATAGACTTATCATAAGTCTTATTTCCATTGAACTATATCTATAGTTTGCATTCACCTTAGCCTCAGTTGATTCGAATCGATTTTAGAACTTCTCTTTCTCTCAACCGTTTCTAAATCTTCGATTGTTCCGGAATAGGGTTACGTTCAATATCTACATAATAATATATTGATACATATCAGTATTCCAAATGACATACTCTAATCTTTCATTTCATAAACTAAAGGAAAGGCGAAATTTCATTTTCTATTTAAAGTAGTATCGGTACCCCCTATAGGGTATTGATACTTCCCTAATTGAGGTATCGGTACCATGCATAGGTATCGATACCTATATTGCATTCTGTAATTTTTGTTTCAAAGATGGTATTGATACCATCCTTAAGGTATCGGTACCCTTGGTATCGATACTGTTCTTCAGGTATCGATACCTCATGGATGCATTCCTTAATTTTACTCTTGAAGTATCGGCACCTGATGAATCAATACCGATATCCCTAGCCCAAAAATCACTTTTTAAGACCGAAAATTACTTTATTTCAGCTCAAACACTTCATACTCCTTAACTCCACTGATGACAAGTCAAATTTAGTCTTGAAATCAAATTACTACCTTCCTATCAAGATTTCATTTAAAAACCTCTCATCCTTAATCCTTAATATTCCCTTCATCTTATTGTTTTAAGAAAACTTAAGCTTTCTTTAAGCTTAAATATCACCTAATGATCAAAATCAAACTTAAATTTCAACTAATAATCAACTAATAAGAAATCTCACATTTGCCTTGGGCTTTCACGTATGAAATAGGAAGAAGAATAACCTGGAACTTTTGATTTGCCTCCTTTCCATACACGTGGGCTTAATGTAACCATAACAAAATTTAATTATTTCCTTGCCAATGACCATTTTGTCATTTACTTCCTTCTTCTTTGTAATTCAATCATACACAACATTTCCCATATAAGACCTTGAACTATTCAATTATTCTACTTTAGTCACCAAATTCTAAAGTTTAACAATTTAGTCACTAACCTGGTATTGAGGATATTACATCTATACTATAGCATGCACTCACCTTAGCCTCACTTAATCCAAATCAACTTCTATGACTTTATCCCTCTGATCGATCCTAACTCTCGGTCATTTCAGAACTTACTTATGCTCGATATCTACCAAATCATACATTTGATATACATATCATAATTCTAAGTATTGTAATTCGATCCTTAATCTAAGTTAAAAGAAATGCTTAATAATATTTTCCACTTTGAGTAGTATCGGGATACTTCCCTAGTTGTAGTATCGATACCAAGCCTGGGTATCGATACCCTTTCCCGATTATGTAATCTTTATTTCAAAATGGTGTCGATACTTGCCTTATGGTATCGATACCCTTGGTATCGAATCTACCCTTTAGGTATCGATACCCCTTGAATAACTTGTCCAATTTTGTCTTATGGTATCGATATTGTTCAACCACTATCGATACTCACACCCCAAATATCACTTGTCAACCTTTGAAGTATCGGTACTGGATGAAGCAGTACGATACTTCTAGCCCAGAATCACTCCTTAAACCCGAAAATTTACCAATAACAATCTAAACCTTCATTTTGAGTCCTTGTCATATCATTAACTTAACTACACTTATTCAAATCAACTTATATTCATATAACACATCCTTATCTTCAAATCTCATCCTATATCTTGAAATCAAGAATCCTACAAATTTTCCAACATGCTCTAATTTCAATTCTAACACTTCATACTTCTTAATACTGATGACAAGTCCATTTAGTCTCAAATTCTACTACTAACTCTCTTCCAAGATTTCACTTATAAACCTCTTATCTTTAATCCATCATAATTTCTTCATCTTTTGGTTTTAAGATAACTTAAGTTTTCCTTAAGCTTAAGTATCATCTAAGGAACATAAACGAAACTTAAATTCAATGCATAATCAACTAGCAAGGAACTCACCTTTGCTTTTGGTAGCTCACGGCTGAAAGAGGAAGAAGAGTGAAGATATTTCTAGATACTTAGTTTAGCTTTCTTCCTTCTCCACGTGTATTTAATATACCTAATACCAATTTTTAATCATTTACTGGTCAAATGACCATTTTACCCTTCTAATCATCCTTCTTTGATATCAGTCATACATAAAATTTTCCAATATGTCCCTAAACTTTTCAATTTTCTACTTTAGTCACTAAATTCTAAGATTTTACAATTTGGGTGAATATTTCTAGATACTTAGTTTAGCTTTCTTCCTTCTCCACGTGTATTTAATATACCTAATACCAATTTTTAATTCATTTACTGGTCAAATGACCATTTTACCCTTCTAATCATCCTTCTTTGATATTCAGTCATACATAAAATTTTCCATATAAGTCCCTAAACTTTTCAATTTATCTACTTTAGTCACTAAATTCTAAGATTTTACAATTTGGTCACTAACCCAGTATTTGGGATGTTACAACAGACTTCTTCACCACTTCTAGACTCTCAACCCGAATCTCATTGATACCTCTATACCAATCTGAAATCTGTGTAAATGGGCTCACAATTGTGTTCTGATTGGGCTTGACAGCTGCTCTCCAAATTGACTTTTTTCCTTAAACATATTCCCTAAAAATCCCCAGAATATTTTTCCCAAAGTCAATAAAATCTGACACTTCAGCTCTGCTTTGTTTTCCTTCTCTCTTCTGCCACATTAATTGTTGGTCCCCACTACTGCCTGATAATTCAAAAACTCTACCCCCTTCCAACCACGTATCCACCCTTAACCTAGTATCATCTACTGCCAGGTCAGGTGTACCAACTTCCTCTGCTGCACATTCTTCTTCGTCCTCCTCTGACATTGCAGCCTCATTGTTCTCATCCTATGTAGCAGCTTTTGATGACAATTCTGACATAACCTCCTGTCTTCTATAAACCAATCCCAGTTCAATTTTTACCTTGAAGGATCTTCCATAAGATCCCAACGTGATCATTTCTTGTACATCAAAAGGGCTCGCCACCCTCAACAGTACCCTTACTATTGACATGTCTATTTTTTTACTGTCGATTCCTGAACGCTCTTCAGCTCTCCCCACCGGCCAACAATCTTTTCCAAGAACGAAACATTCCAGCATAACAAAGGAACTCCAATCATTTCAACCGAACAGAATGCCATAGGGATACCTTTCTCATTCAAAAAAGGTTCTAACCATTGAAACCAAAATAACATTTCCTCCTTTTTCTTCAACCACATCTCTGCTAATTCTCCTTCTGAGCTAAAGGTGACAATGCATGAATTCTAAGCATAGCCCCAACTCGCTATCTTAACGTTTATCCCATCACTTGCCAGCCTTTTTTGATCTAGTTCCAAATCGAAGAGAGGTTTGATTATCCCTGTTAAAGATCTTTTGACCCAATCTGATTTAACCAAAGCGATGTGCATTTCCCATACAATTCTTATCCCCGAGATCCTCCCCTCGTGACCCACATTATTATCATTTAACACCTGATCATCCCTCGACCTTCCATTACAAACCAAAGCATCCTTGTATGATCTTCCACCCCTCAAATTGCCCAAAAGTTATGTTCCCTTACTTCTTTTCTTGGTCTCACCCTTGTTTACCTTCTTTTCTTCTTTTTTGGACTTGGAAGTAACATCTAACCTGGACCGATGATTCTGGTATTTTTGTAGCCCTAACAGAAACTCTCTTTCCATCTATCCACGTTCCATTGATATTCACAATCGTGTTCCTTAAACCTTCATCCTTCTCAAACTGAACAAACGCAAGTGTATGGTTCCTATACTTGGGTTTGTTGGACACATTTGGAATGTAAACCCTTATAACCTTACCTTGTGATGGAAAAACTCCCTTAACGCTCTCCCAGAGACTCTCTTGCTGAGATTATCCACAAAAGCCGTCCATTCCTTACTATAGGACCTTTTTCATTTCAAATTCTCTCACTCTCTCACTCATACTTTCTCTCTCTTTGATTATCAAAAGACTTTGTTCTCTTTCCAAAATAAAAGTGTCTTAACAGTTAGGGTATTAATTGGGTAATTGACTATTAACATTTTTTAATTAATATGTGATAAATACAAAGTAGTATCTGTTCAAATAAAATTTTCAACCATTTAACATTAGATGCTCATACCCTTGACATTCTTGATGCTCGAACCTGAGACCACATAAAATAACAATAATTCTTTTACCACCGAAATTTAATGTTTGGACGACTAAAATAAATAATTTCTCTAATGATTAAGACTAAATTGAGGGATTTCTTTTTAGTTTACCCCAGAAGCAATTTCCATAAGGTTAGTGATGAAATTAAAAGTGTATATAATTAGGTGAAAAAAAAGAAACGTGACGATAGGTGAATGATTAACAATGTTATTTATCCAAACATCTAGAACTGAAAGAGAAAAAAGAAGCTAAAAATAAAGCATATTCTCACTCTTTTCAAGAGCCAAAAGAGTCATTTTCAGTTCCTAGGCCCTAGCTATATTATTGTGCTTATATTTTCTTTTCATTCTCCCCTTCAATAATTCCATTAATAATCAAATCCATATAATCTGTTACAGATTTTCTAACATCATCGTAATTTCCTGTCTCTTCTTCCAAACGGTACTGTTTTACCTTTGAGCAGGAAAAAGAAGACAAGTAGCTGACTTTTAAGAGCAAAAAATGGATCTTTGGGCAGTTCACTTGAAGAACGCAAACCCTGGGAATCCTCCTGCTTCTGCTGCTATGTTGACGAAGAGAAATTCGATTCCTGGAAGACCCAATTCTTGTAAGATTTCGAAATTCGGAGTTTTTCAAATCAGGGTTTCAAGATATTCCTTCCTTCATCTGCCCATCGTTCTTTCTCCGTTAAAGCTATGGCTAAGAACAATAATCACGATAATTCATCTTCCCCTTCCTCATCTTCCGGTATGCCTTACTTCCCCCTTTTTTTCTCTCATGCAAATTTATGAAGAATCATAGCTTTTGGCTCTTTTTTTAATTTCTTTTTTTCAGTTATTAATTTTGTGGATAATTTGTTTTTTATATCTTTGGGTTTTTGAAACTACATCTTGTTGAATACTTGAAAGTGTTTAAGGATGATTAATTCAAATATTGGATTAGTTTTGAACATTGATGGACGGTGACTGACCATTTAATTGAAACAGTGAAGTGTTAGTTTTGAAACGAATGAACTCACAAAGATTAGTGATTTGATGTACTAGTCTTAAATGTAGAATTGTTAGTGTTTATTGGAATTGTGATTTGGTTTAAGGGACATCTCAAGTTGCCACAGCTAATGCTATTATGTTAAATTTTACATTATTTTAGTCCTAATGTTGGAGTTTTTCTTATTCGAGGTTCGAGCTAGGATTGCAGATTTGGTACTGAGTCTTGGTCTATAGTGACTTGAAAATTCTTTCTTTCCCCTTGTATTGTTTTCTTTTTCCTTCTTGTGTGTTTTATATGAAGCACAGAAGTACAGGTAATGGTATCGTGCTTTATGTTTTGACTTAGTTCGTTTTTAGATTTTGTGATCTATAAATCATTTAGTCCTACATTCTTCTTTTTCCTTGATTAGATCTTGTTATTATTATTTGGTGTATGATTTGATACATAAATCGGCATTTCAGAGTTGCCACAATTTGGATTTAACATAGTTTTCAAATGTTTGTGGTAATTTATCCAGGAAATGGCGATCAATCTATTCCTGATAGAGACAATTCAAGAATAAATAATTCTTCAGACAGCAACAAATCTGATGATGATGCTTCTCAGAAGTCCCATGATGTAAACATGAACTGGAGAGAGTTCAGGGCAATGCTCTATAATAATTACCAGGTGACGTTTTTCGTCCCTTAATTGTGTGCATTCTGCTTCTTCAATATTTGAGGGGTAAAATCTTTGTTACTTGGACTCGGGTGTGTGCCAAACATGGGTATGTTCAATTTTTTTTTTAAGTGTTTTATTATTATATGGAAGATCTTCAGGGGTCATATCTTCATATCTATATATGTCGGACCCAAGTCTTTCTATTAGTGTTTCTAAGAAACAGATTAGTTTAGTCAAGGTGTGTACCTATGCATGAAGCAGAAATCAAGTGAACTCCTTGTGCTTATTCTAACAGTGTAATTTTGTAATTATTCAAACTTTTTGTTGCTTTTTATCATATGCTGCGTTTGGAAGCAAAATCTGTATACTTTCTAGGTTTATCATTAGTTCTTTTCAATGTTAATTGACCTGTTATGTATGTGAAAAGCATTGAAAGCGATGTGTAGAAAATTTGGATTTCTTGCTCTATAGAAACAGTTAACTTTTACATTACTTTTAACAGGTGGAAAAGACAGATTCCGGTGCTCATAAACAACGTGGAACACCTCATGTGTCGAAACCTCTCAACCAGAAATGGGCACACCCACTTTCAGTGCCTGAGACCGGCTGTGTTCTTCTTGCCACTGAGAAGCTTGATGGAGTTCGCTCGTTTGAACGAACGGTGGTTCTCCTTCTGAGATCCGGAACCAGACATCCACAAGAAGGGCCATTTGGAGTTGTTATTAATTGTCCACTTCACAAGAAGATCAAACACATGAAACCCAATAATAATGAATTAGCCACTACCTTTGCGGATTGCTCCCTGCACTTTGGGGGGCCTCTTGAAGCGAGTGTGTTTCTTTTAAGAGTGGGAAAGAAATCCAAGCTTCCTGGGTTCGAAGAGGTGATTCCTGGCCTCTGTTTCGGTGCTAAAAATAGTTTGGAGGAAGCTGCTGAGTTGGTGAAGAGAGGAACCCTCAAGTCTCAGGATTTCAAGTTCTTCGTTGGGTATGCTGGATGGCAGCTGGATCAGTTGAGGGAGGAAATTGAGTCTGGCTATTGGCACGTGGCAGCATGCAGCCCAAATCTGATTTTTGGAGATTCGTCGGACAGTTGGTCGGAAAGTTTGTGGAAGGAGATTTTGCAGGAAATGGGTGGTGAGTACTTAGAACTAAGCAGGAAGCCTAAGCAAGATATATAGGGTAGGGTATCTAACAGGTAATGTGCCTAATGGATGAATATAGAATTAAGAAGTTGAGTATTGAATATTGATGTGTAGGTAATGAAACCATTTGTACAGAATATTAACTGCCTTTTTCACTAAATTCATCTTCATCCTCCTTTTCTTCTCATGTCCAGTGATAAGAAAAAAAACTGCACCAATCTGGGAGGTTGAACCGGTACAATCAGGACCGGTTGCTCACCTGGAAACTAATGATCCTCGTTCTAATATTTTTGGTAAACTACTATTTTGACCTCTTTTATTTTGATCACCATACTATTTTTACCTCTCCAAGAAAAAGATGTGGAAGACAACTATGATGATGGAGAGGTTGATGAGCTTTGTGAAAGCTTAAGCAAGATAAGCATATTTAAAAAATGTTGTAAAATATTATCATGTAATGGATTGGATCGAGTTGTTTGAGTGTAAAATGTGATGGATGTGTAAATATTGAAGATCAAATATGTAATTATATTAATTTTTTTAACAGTTACATCACCTCTTATGTTAGATGTTAACAATCGGTAGTTTGAGTAGAACATTTAAATAATTAAGTGGTATCTTCCGTTAGATGGTTGGATTAGAACATTTAAATAATTAAGTGGTATCTTCCGTTAGATGGTTGGATTAGAACATTTAAATAATTAAGTGGTATGATTGATAAAATTAAAAGATTGATGATCGAAATAGAAAGGGACAATATTTAAGTAGTTATAGTTTACTTATATAAGAACTAAAAATATAGTTTAATTTCAGATTTTACAGCTACTATTCGGATGAATATCAAAATTTTAAAATACGAATAGCATTAAAGACTAAAAGAGTCTAAATTAACGTATAAAAACTAAATTCATAATCTATACATGATATAAGTACTAATTATATAATCTAACTTATATATGCACGTGTATATATAAAAGAACTAAGAAGAAGTGATGCCGGAAAAGAATGCCACCTATAAGATCAAAAGCAAATTCCCACTATACACAGCAAATTGCTACACCGCCTCATTCAATTGCACTTGCAATGCAAGTTAACCAGACCAACCAAATCAACCCTATCAACATTTCATGAACATCAGAAAGTCTATGACCCCAAATCAATGTAACATCTCCATCTCAATCTTGTTGCATTCTGATTTCTGATGATGAACAAATAAGTTCAGTGGTTGCAACTCGGCATTTCGAAGCGAAAATGTTACCGGAGAGCTCTCGGAGCAAGCTTCTTACAAGGAGGCAAGCGAAGAGCTTACGGTTTTTACGATGTATTCCCACCATGATGCAGTTGAGTTATACATTTGCAACTTTTTATGCTTTCCTCACTTCTCGATGCGTCCTTTTCTTACAGCCTGCTGGATTTGTCTTTCATCCTCTTTAAGCATGTCTTGGTTGTTTCCACCAGGAGGCACCAGTGATCCAGAACAGTGGGTCCTGTTTTTCTTTGCTACATAACCTGCAATAGTTTAAGAACATATGAAACATTATAAATGATTCATGGCAAAGACATGATCGGAGTCTTGGAGTATACGACCATTTCTACCCGAAACTCGACATTTGACATCTGAATCTTAAATCTTACATATCTCATCTAAACATGTCAGAAACTTGCATAGACATTACATACACTTATCTAAGTTTTCGGGTCTCAGAATTGTAGAATCATTTGAGAGAGTTGCATCCCCGTGTTAGACATTACCATATCCATATCTGACAGACTCGTGTCCACGAAACATAGGCATGCAATGTACGATGACTAGATCATCTGACCTAAAAATGATATGATGCTGATAACAAGAAAAGTTAAACAAAAAGTGGTCGGAAACAGTTGGTTAAATTACCGAGGCTTGATCATTGTTTGATGCTCTATCATCTTTCTTATAGGAAGTGTTGGCTGCCTGAGGGTTCAATGAATTCTGTTTCCTAATGTTGCCAGTGTTTCTGGTACAACCTGCCTTATTCCATAACTCTACCGCACTGGGATGGATCATCGAAGAGGAACGAGTTAAGCCATTTTGCGAGGTGACCTTACAAGGATCAACTCCAATGGCCGAGGCACTAGGATGGTCATATTTAAGAGTGGTAACAGGTTTTGATGGTCCCTGAGCAATGAATTCCGGTGAATGCACCAATTCAGCTCCCCGACCCTTGACAGCCTCTGCTCTTTTCCTGAAGTTACATGTGAGAATAAAAGTTTAAAGATGGATTCAAAAATTTCTCAAAAGAAGAAGAGAAAGTTATGGAATCATTTTTGTCTTTTCTTTATTAGGCATCCATCAGCACAGGATAAATGCATCAGAATGAAAAATAAATCGTTATGATTTTCTTGGGTTGTTTTTTCGCATTAACTTAGCATAGCATGAGTTTATGTATGCATAAGTTATAAAAAGGCTGAAAATGACCAACCTTCTTGCTTCCTCGTTACGAAGCTTAGCATCTTGTTCCTTGGTTGGAGGATAGGATCCGATGGGATTACAAGGGAAAGGCTCAATTGTAAAGAACTGATGATTCAACCATTGGCCGGACAATATCATAGAAGGATGTTAGAATTCAAATCAAACGGGAAATTCATGTTTCAAGAAGTGAAGATAAAAAAATAATACTAAACAACAACAAAAAGGAATATAGCTGGTTGTCCAAATACCTCACTTCTAAGTGCTGAAGTAGCGGATCCTCGAAAATCTGGTTCCAACGAGAGGAGTTTATCAACAAGAGACAAGGCAGAATGTGGGAAGTTTCTGAAAGCGTCAGCAACAAATCGTTTGTAATTTTTTTGAGGTTTGAAACTAGTTGCATGTGGAAGTTTCGTTTTCTGCCATACTCCTCAGAGGGTGAACCACAGAGTTTAAAGATCCTATGCATTTGCTCTACCTGAAGTAATCAGAAACGAAAGAACTTAGAAAAACTTGTACATACCCGTATTGAGCATACATAGCCAAGTCCAAGTATATTCTGTTAGCATTCTTTTCAGAAGAACAAAGCAAAATGAAAGTGCATTTGCAACAATATACAGAATTAGTCATGCAGTTATATTACAACACATGAAAGAGAGACTACCTCTGTTCTTCCAGGCAAAATCGGCTTCCCAGAAAATAATTCAGCAAGGATGCAACCTGCACTCCACATATCTATAGCAACTCCGTAACGATTGGCCCCAAGCAAAAGCTTGGGTGCCCTGTACCAAAGAGTTACAACACAGCTTGTCAGTGGCTGCTTTTGGTCCAGTTTAAACAAAGTTGCCAAACCAAAATCTGCAATCTTAAGAACTCCATTTTTGTCAATCAGGAGATTCGAGCCTTTGATGTCTCGGTGCAGAACACCATGGCTGTGACAGTGTTCAAGGCCACGAAACAACTGTTGCATGTAACATTTTATTTACAACAAAATCGCATATGCCTCTTATAAGACCAAAAGCAGATATAACTTGAGCAAGGTATTTTATTGCAATATAGAAACATATACCTGCTGTTCGGTCAACTTGATGCCAGGAGTGGCTGCAAGCCTTGCAAGATCATGGTCCATTTACTCGAAGACAAGATACAAGCTGCTCGACATCCTTGAAGTGACTATACACAAAAGCTTCACGACATTTGGATGGTCAAGCCTCTGTAAAATGATTATTTCCCTAGCCATGACGCGGACACTTTCAGGATCCATATTGGCAAACCGGACCTACATGGCAACTATTTTGCCAGTTTCTAGGTCACGAGCCTTATATACACTGCTGTAAGCTCCTTGACCAATCTGCATATACAAAATACTATGTCAGTATGGGCAAAAACACTCATGAAAAAAGAAATTTGTCGCATACAACAAATGGTAAGCCAAAGTACGTCCTCCAACGGCTATAAATGACAAAATCTATAAACAATTTGCACAAACAAAGATGATTTGAAACATACAAAAGAAAGTTTTAAGAAATACTGAAGCTATTCCAATATCATCAAATGTTATATGGTACCAAGTACCAACAATGACTGCAATTCGTCCTTTGTCTTAATCAGCTAATCTGCTAGGATGAAATCCCTGTACTATGTCAATTCTTGTTCTTAAAGTGTAACATGTTTGAACCAATGTTTGTTTGAATCGGTAGTAAAATCACGAGAGAAGTTTTAGAAGGGCAAGGCTACTCAGGCTGTTCATGCTTGATACTCGTGTCCAGTACATCTTCGAATCTCTACAAAGACCTTCCAATGCATGGCAAATCTTAGAAAGAAAAATATAATGATACCCCTATCAAACAAATACTCGTATCCGACACTCCTATAAGTTTGAGTAATATTGCAAAAATTTGACCTATGCACCAGAGAATTTCCCAGTTCAATTCTTCAACATACATGGCACTTTTAATGTGAAGGTTAATCAAATTATAAATATATGCTCCATTTGCAAACTTTACCTGTATTTTCATCTTTCATATATTACCAACGTTAAAATACCATTGCATATTAACGTCTTCCAACCGGAAGATCCTAGGAAGCTGTATCATATATTCATACATCGGACACGATTATCGAGCAAAGTAGGGAACACGGATATTTCAACAACAATAAGAAGTCCAATGGCATGGAGAAACAAAATTGAATTCAAGGGGGAAAAAGTCAAAAAACGTGAACTGATTTAAGAGGAAGTAAAAGAAAGAACTGACGAGAAGTAATTACTTTCTCTAACTTCTCAAAAGATTCGACCCGCCGAGGCAGCAATCCCTTAACAACTTCTCAGGCAACTGAAACTAACCACGACGGCCATCTGGCAGCCACTAGTTCAGTGAGAGGCCGAGCAGGATAGCCAGCTATATCCACAGAAAAACGACCGGTTTTGGATGGTTGACGTAGGGAGTAACGTCGATCAACTAAAAGATCATCATTCTTTGTTGGCGTAGGAGCAATCAATTGCACTGATCCCTTGTTGAAATCTCCATCTTTCTCATTGCCATTGTCGTCAAAACTCTCATCTTTGGCTCCTTTGTTGCAGATGCAGTCCATAATCCCCCCTCCCCCTAAACAATCCCTTGTTTTCGAATAGCTATGCCTCGAATTTGCTTGTATAAAAGAAAAAATCCCTCTTCTAACCATGCATTAAGCAACAAAGAAACCGATGTTCTCCATTGTTGCCGAATTCGAACCT